ATTAAATGTTATGCCAATAATATCGTATTTTTGAAATGGCCAGAAATTTCTTGTAGAGAAACACACAAATCAATATTGGTACCGAAAAGTTATAAATGTTAAAATTCGATGCATTAAATTCTTTTTAGTTTTATCCATATTACTGCTATTAGTATATTCAAAATATGTTAATGATTTCATTATTTCGTATTTTCGTTAACAACAATATTACATTTCCGAAATTTTTAAACATTAACTTCTATGATAAATAAAAATTAATTAGAATTTACTATCCACACATTTCTAACATGTTTTTCACAATATTATATTTCAGAATTCACTCAATCAACACTCAACGGAAATGATCTTCGTGCACGCAGGTGTGCTTTCCGAGCACTATCCTGCACAGTTTTGAAAATGCACGTAGCTAAAGATAAAAATTTTAAGTCACATCGGTCAAAGTTTGCGACTGCCTTTGCTCCGTTTCATTTGAAGTTTGTGCAAGTTAATACAAACGTAGGTCATTTAATTAAGGTAGTGATATCAACCCTGCTGTTTTCCGACTTGCCTGAAGACTCATATTTACTGATTCCACTTCTCTTAAACTTGGATTCTCTGTGTTATGATGAAGGACATATTTAAGCATGGCCAAGACCTTCCCGTGGAAACGGAGAAGCGAGGTCTCAGTAACGTACTTCGGACTTACCAGGCCAGATGACGTTCACAGCCGGTGTGTTCCTCATTAATTACGGGCAAATGCTAACTTGACACTTTACATGCCCCTGGCAATTCATCCTTCGTAATTCGAGTTTCTACGCTCGACGAGAACATGCTCTACAGCATTGTAAAGGGAACTCGTCAGTTTACATTGTTTCTGCAAACTCTACTGCGACTCTGAACACAAACACGAGGAATTCGAAAACGTCGTTATATTCGCACACAGAGAAAGAGAGTGCTGCAGAGGTAGTGACAATTAAGTCTTCATTCGACCGGACACGCATGCTTTCATGTAACTTGAAATAGAGAAACTCCTGCAATTACTTAAAAATTGTTATCGATGTTTTGATGAAACTACCTGTTCAAAAGCATCGATACAGAAAGGATACTATTTTTCTTTCCGTCTATCAATTATTCCGTGGGCCATGTTGAACTGCCTTCGTTCGCCCTTCATTTAGTAATGCTGTCCCCCCAATGACAAGTTGACTGTCCGTCCGTTTACTTGCCTGTCAAGTATAGGTTCGTCTATCCGTCTGTCCGATTATAGTCCAGTTGCCTCTTTATTCTTTCGAATGTTCACCCTTTTGTTTGTTCATGCATCCTTCCTTTTGTTTGTTATTGATCCCCACTGTCCGTTCATTTGTCTACCTGCTACACCAACTTCGAGTTTCTAAATTGTTCCTTTAATATATTGAAATACTTTTTCTGAATTATTTCCAAACTGAGATAGTAAAGGGGTTTAGTGGAGTACTTTATTAATATCCTAAAAAAGTTTATGTACTCCTTTATATTGAAAATATTTATATAAGAAAAGACGAGTGATAATGAAACCGCGGAAATATAAAACTGCGATATCGTTTGTAGCACAAAAATTGAGACAATGCCATGCATAATAAGAAAACGGACATGCGTACTTTTACGTTATTGCATTTCAGCTTGCGTTGTCACACCCAACGGTATAAATGAATTTTTGTCATCTCTGTGGTAAGAAATAATGAATAGAGCTCCGATTCCAAAGTAAGATCTAAAGAAGAGGAAATGTCGTGTTGAATAGCAAATGCACTCTTCATTTCTGCCTCTCTTTGAGTTGAGATTTGTGTGCCGACACTAGGGATTTGGACAGATCACAGAGGTAGATATAATTTAGGGGATAGCGTTTCTTTTCATACGGGAAACAATACATTCATACGGGAAACAATACAGATGTGTATTATGAAAAGGGGAACACAACATTCAGTTCAGAAAGTTCAGAGAGTTCAGAAAGATAACATTTAAATTCATTGAATATAGTTGATAACGGGAGCATGACTTAATAAAATTTATATGAAGATATTACATTTGCCAATAAAACGGAATAAAATTTTTAAAAAATGTGATCACGATTTGAAATCCAGAGAAATCCTTCTGCGTATCTCCTTCTATGTACATAAAATTGGAGTGTCCGTCTGCGGATTCAGAATTGCTGACTTTTTATTATTTCATAAACGTATTTAAATGATTTAAAAATCAAGACAACTCTTTTAAAAATTTTGGCATTCTGTTCGTAATTTCTGAAACGACAAAAGCCGATTTCGATGCGGTTTTTACTGAAAGATAGTGTTTCTTCAGGCATAACATAGGCTACTTTTTCAAATCATTATTTTCTATTTTATAAAGACGAATATTTGATAGTATGCTTTTGCAAGTTAATCTACAATTTCATTCCTATCTTAATGAAATTTTGTGCACGTGACTTTCAAAACTAGAAAAGAGTGGAGCTACAACGGCAGAAACTTTCTTGCATTATTTCTACATTTGCAATTTTCGAAAAATCAGAGAGTGCAACGAAAATGAGACCCGCGCCAATTAACTTCTTTTATTAGTAAAGGGAAAATGGAGTGTTTTTTAGAAATAAGTTTTTAGAAATAATTTTTTTAGAAATTTGAAGCAAAAGTCACAGGAAAACTACACGATATTTCCAAAAAGTGAATATGACACTTCAAAATAATCTGATTTTTACATGAGACTTTGAATAAGAAAAAAACTTTATTCTCAGAATCTGTATTTTCGTCAAAAACTCGACATGAACTTTTTGCAGTAATACATAACTCTCCCTATAAAACATATGAAAGAAACAAAAATTTAGAATTTTTAATATGCTATTGGAGCTTTGTCTTAAGTACCACAAAAATAGAGGTCCGTTTTTAAATTTACAAAGTATCGTTGTCAGAGAAAATCGATTTTGGAGTAAATCGTAGTGTGCTTGAAGCGCTTTTGTTGTTCGCAGTCAGTGGAAAGGAAGAAGGAAAGGCGAGGAGGAGGGGCAGAGCGGAATAGTGGCATTTTTTAAGACAATACCTTTTCCGTTTAAAGGACGCCAAAAACACGAATCGTAAATGTTTTGCCACATTGCAAAATAATTTTCTGCCAAAATTAACATATTATGTCTCTTTATATTACAGTATTTATCAATTTAATATAGTTTGTTCGTTTTCATATTCCGCTTGGAGATATAATATTTTGTTGCTAGAATAATGAGTAAATGAATACAATTTTTTTTATATTGATCTTCATAAATTATTATTTGTTAATATTATTTTCCTAATCGACTTATTTTAACAATGTCAAATCATTATTATTGACTGCTACATTCTTTGTACACACTCTGACAGTGTCACAACCCTAACGAAAGCTATCTAGCAAACCATTCATACCATGTCTTAAAGGCAACTTCGCTCGTCGATAAATACAACCGCACTCTTCAGAAACGGAACGCAATAGAAGCGTTTCTTGAGATTCTAGGTGTGCGGCTTCCAACGTGGCTCGCAACGTAAGATTCCAGCGCCATCTGGGACGTTGCTTCCGATATTATTAATGGTATCGATCGGGTATCGGATGCAGGGCCCGGTTTTCTTTCGAGCCTCTTGGGCGCCGGCGGGCCGATGCCGGCGCGGCTCCTTATCCAGGGCCGGCTCCGCGCAATACATAAGGCTTAGCGTCGGCGGCGGGGCGCGGCGGCGCAGGGCAGGAAGATGTGGGGGGCCGGGGGGCAACGCCCCCCCCCCCGCCCCGACGAGCCTAGTGGTTGCGGATAAGGCCACCGCGCCGATACAGTCCCGGGAGCAGCGCCAACCGGGCGCAAAGCGGGCAAACGCAAAGCGGTCGGCCTGCTGTTGCGACAAAGTTAGGGCCAGGCAGCTAGCTTCAGATACCGGCGTTTACCGGGCGGGCCTTTTTCACCTCCGCGCCCCATCTGCTCGGGGCGGGGAAGGCGCTGGCGCAGCAGCGGCCCATGCTTTAGGCTCGGTGACAGGGCCAAGGGGGAAGCGGCAGAATCGGGAGGGAACGGCGGACGTGGATGAGAGGAAAGGAAGCGGCGGACGAAGAGGAGAGGCGGTGGAGGAAGTGGCGGGGGAGAAGGAGGGGCGGCGGTGGAGGAGAGGCGAAGGAGAAGACGAAGGGACGAAAAAGGAGGAGGACAAAATAGAGCGGAGGATCAGAGGACAAGGAGACGAGGGAGGGAGGAGGATGGAGACGGAGAAGGAAGGGGATAATGCTGGTGTAGTGGCGGAAAAGGGAGCTAAAGAGGGACGAATAGAGCGTCGGGAAGCGCGGGTCCGGAAAAGTGGCAAGAATCAGCGGAGGCGGCGGGGGTCGAGGCGTGGTGTTGGAGGCAGTTAGTTTTGGGAGGAGTGGTCTTGTAAGGCAGAGGTGTTGGAGCCTGGTGTTGGAGGCAGTGGTGTTTGGAGGCAGTAGTGGTTGGAGGCCTGGTGTTGGAGGCAGTGGGCGTGTTGGAGGCAGTGGTGTTGAGGCGGGTGTGGGTCGGGTGTCGACGGTTGGTGGAGGGCGGGTCAAAAAATCGGCAGGGTGGGAATGCGGCGGGGTGGGAGGGGGCATTTGTTCGAGGTGGCGTAATTTGAATGCGGCATTCTTCGAGGTCCGCATTGTATTGGAAGCGGCGTTTTTGTAGCGGAGTTGTTGTAAGCTGACATTGTTGAAGTGGCGTGTTGGACACGGCATTAGTTGAGAGTCGGGCAATGGTAGATGGCCGGATCGGAAAGCGGCCAGAGGTTGGGAAGCGGACGGTGTTGCGAGGCAGTGGTGTTGTAGACGCTGTGTCGGAGGCGGAGGTTTAGGTGGGAGGCCGGGGTCAGAATCAGCAAGGTGACGGTGATGCGTGTGTTTGAGGCGACGTTGTGCGAGGCGGCGTGGCGAAGGCGGCATTTTTCGAGCGGTGCGCGCTGTTGGAAGCGCGTTGTGACCGAGCGGCCGTTTGTGGACACCACCAGTGGTGTGGAACACGGGTTTGTTGGTGGGCGGCCCAAATGCTGAATGCGGCGGGGGAGAACGACGGTCGGAAAGCAGGCTGGCGCGTCCGGAAAGCGGCGGGGTCGGAAGCGGCGGGGGTCGATCCCCCGCCGAAGGCGGCCGGGGTAACCGGCGCCAGCGGGCTGCTTCCCGTCTCTGCCGATAGCCCAGATGGCTTCGCACTAGGTCGCAGCGCGTCACCTTAAGCTTTCGGCGGACGATAAGTGAGTGCGCCCATTCTAACGCCCCCGTCGGCCTCGGCGGAACCCAGTGGCGCCTTTCGCGGGGCTCTTGAAGGAGATTGCTTGCCGGTATTATACTGCGGCCGTCATGGATGATGCGACGCTCGATGAGGACCGCTTATCGGCAATTTTGTTCCATCCAGCTCTGTATATGATTTCTTTCATGTTCCTGTGAAAAATTACTTTTAACACAGGGAGCCTAAACTGATTGCATGCTGAAGACGATACTTGGTGTTAGGAATCACGCCAAAATTAGAAGATAGGTTTCATTGTTCCTTTTTTATAATTATTTTCATAGATTTGACCAGGAGTATCTCTTGCTTGTGATAATGTAGAAATTTAAGAATTTTTATGATTCATGTAGACCACTTCTGCCACGTGTATTGGTGAATTTTTCTATAACATTATTGTAAATGAAGATAGTTATAATGAATTTTGAGTAATATTTTACTTATCACGTGTATTGCGGCATTGACTTGGATTGCCAAACCGGTGGACTGGCACTTAAAATTATGTTTCAAAAATAACAACCTCTCTCAGCTAAAACGGCTCGTCTAAGTTACCACTTGCAACATTAGAGTACATTGACATTATTACACTTAAAAAACGTAAATTGCATTAAATTCCAAATCTTGTATTTATGTTCCAATTAAAGAGCAAAACACAACGTTATAACACATCGTTATCAATTGACTGTGAATCTAATAAGTGATCAAGAGCTTTGTCATTGCTTTTTTTGCATTATATATTCGTTTTCTTCGACAATAAAAAGCGCATTAAATTTATTTGCCTCCCGAAATTTTGGGCTACTACGAAGTTGCTTTGTTTATCGCAAATATCAAATCGAATGAATCGTTGCTGAATCCAAATGAAAAGTATCAGGATTTTGGTTTTATTTTTAAACCCAACCAGGGAAAAATTCTTAAAATAAAAATTGTCTTGTTTTCAAAATCCAAATCTATAAAGAAAAAGCAGGATTTTTATTCAATATATTGGTATTAACCAACCATCCGCGTAATATGACAGATGGAAGCGAGCTAGATTTACTACAGAAATTTTTCATACGCAAAATATTCATTTTATTTTAAATCTTTTTCTAGTGAGCTTTGATTTCTCGACACGTTCGGGGTTCAATTTAAACGAACGACTCCATAAATAAAAAAAATCGATGGAGTCGTAGTTTCTTTTAATTTTTTTTTTAGTACAAAATCTGTATGAACGTTGGTGTATTACTAAACTTGTTCAAGTTCGACCACTTTTTTGGTCTTGATTTTCATAATTATTTTATTTTAATTCATAAGATTAAAAACGCTTTACACTGGCTAATAATATGCTTTTGCAGTAGAACTTTATCACCTTCAATAGATAAAAAATATTTATCTACTCTCCTCGGCTCTTAGGGCGCTGACACACGCGTTGCTACATTTTCTTTTTAGTATCAATGAAAGTTATATTGATCAGTACTACAGTACTTGTACATATGTAGTTTGTGACGACTTAAATTAACCTTATAAACTAACTTAATTCTAAATCTAACTACTCAAGAGTAAGTACGAGGTAAAGGAACGAATCTGTCTGTAGTATATCCCTGGCCACCATTGCTTCGCCCTGCCCCCTTTTCCTCCTTCCCCGTAAATCTCCCGTTTTAATACCATGATCGTATATCCTGTGTATTATGTATTTGAATTATCTGTAAGGTGTTGAATTAAAGTGTTATTTATTGATCATAAAACATTAAAAACTGTATGGTGGACAATGACTGTCTATGTACGTTTTCCTGATCATGACAATCTCTCTATTATATTTAATTATATTTAGTTGACTTGCTAACAAAATAATAAATTAAATCAGTTCTTCCAAAATAGCTCTCTTATTCCGGATCTTTCTTTAAATTGTTATTTTTAAATTGTTCACTATGACTTCAAAGTTGATTTACATAACTGAGTGTATTTTCGAGCATAAAACTTTCTTCGTTCAGTTTTATGTTAAAAAATGCTAGTAACTTTTAATTATCTCGTTGGTTATCGTACATTTCACTGTTCAATTGCGATGGAAGAAATTGTGGTTTCTTCCATGTACTCAGTAACAACCGCACTTACTTCTAACGCACTAATAATCAGCGACTGCGCAAATCCAAATTTCATAAAAAAAGTTGGAGTAGAAATGTGCTCCAAGAAACTGACTTTCGGCTGAACCAAGTACACAGATCATGTATTATTCATAAAATGTGTTGGTATTACAGGAACCGGTATTATTTATGCAATGAATTTCTATAGAATCATTCATTGATTTTTATTAATAAGATTCCCATTCATTAGATTGTATGCTTTGTTACTCGTAGCCACCTCATTATACTGATATGCTCTTATGAAAACTCTTGATCTACAACAATATTGATTGGAGAGACATGAAAAAATAAAAAAAGAATGCAGACTCATTTTTAGAAGAAATTAAATCAAATGGGGGATATAAGGGAATAATGCAAAAGTCGTTATTTGACTTCTGAGAAAGAACTACATTAGTCTTTGAAGTTGGAGTGGATTCCGGTTTACATTCGTACTCAGCTTTTTCATAAGGTAACAGGATGATGAATGAGATAAGTGTAGAGTCATGATGGATTGTCTTTTAGGTACACAGCAGACTCTGCTCCAGGATGTTTGTTTCTAACACAAACAAATTTTATGACTTTGAAAAAAGCTGTAAACATTTAATCATATCATCGATGTTCATACGTGCGGTATATTACCTGTCAGTTTATTTTAAGTTGTTTCTCGCACAATATAATAGGTCTATATGAACTATAGAGACATTTATGTAACACAGTAAGTAATTGATGTCGAGATTTTGACAGAAGTACACTTTCGAGGATCTCTTTTTTCTCGAAATTATCTTCTGTCTGTGAATAACATACGATCCTTAACCATGTATACGCTTGTACCCAAAATTAATATTTCTTGATTCTTAAGGCCGACCTCCAGACCTTGAAAATTGGAAACAAACTTTTTAACATTTATAAGAACTTTAAATAAAAGGTTTTGGGCATTTTCAACATTTACTCCTTTTTTTCTTCATTTTTTGCTCGGATAGATTGGTTGATTAATTAATGAATCCTGAACTGGTAAGACCATTATTCCAGTAAGTGCAGTGCATGCTTTTTGGGTGTTGTTGTTGTTGTTGTTGTTGGCGGTGGCGGTGGCGGTGACCGTCCCCCGCTGGAGGGTGAGATACGACGCCGAACTACCTGTCGGCTAGCGTGTTTTCCCTCAACACGTATCTCCCAACAGCGGAGCACCACCCCAGCCGGGACAAGCCTTAAGATCCCGACCCGTGTCCTAACGTGTTTGGTAGTGTAAGTGTATGTATAAGTAAAGAGTGAGGATAGGACCAAAAAAAAAGTTGATGGTGAGCGGCCTGTAACCCGTTTTTAGAGTACAACTCCAGCATTCGTCTGGTATTGATCGGAGAAACCACGGAAAAACTACGGATCAGAGCAGCCGGTATATTTCCCTTCGAGACAGCGACGGAACACGATCTGGCTATCAAGCTACAATCGAAAATGCTGCCACCGTTGCGCTCGAATCTAGGACTTCCTGTTCAGAGGCACCGTAGTGACTTCAGTAATGCTCTGAGCCACCTCTCTCGGTAGAAGAAAAAGCGCTTTTCAATATAGTATGAATCCGATTTTCATTAACACTTAAGTGATGTTTGATATTGAAAATGTTCGTCATTTTGGACCCGCTCCTGCAACTATTTCTCTATTTCTTTAACTTCGAAACTTAAAACCTCTGTTTGAGGCATGTAAGTCATATATGTTACGCATAATACAATTGTTCATTTTAATCTACGTTACTAACTTCGAATGCATGCAGAAATACAATGAAAACTAAGCTAACTCTAGCTATGTAAGAGTTGCATATAATTTTGTTAGACACCCAGGAATTTGGAAAAAAAATTAGAACATCTATATTTACAATGAGCACTGAAGTTGAAAAAGAACTGTACAGCCTCCTGCTATGTGAGGTGTCCATTGTTTCGTTACATACACAAGAACTATTAATTTATATTATAAAGTAATATTAATTTTAACAACGACATTTAGTGTATTCTTTCCCTGATCCTTGAGCAAATGCTGAGATGGCCTCTTGTTTTGCTTCTGGAAATAAATGTAACTTCAATTTAACTTCTTCCCCTAGCACGTCACACACAGATTCTAGCTGTTTTTGACGTAAATAAATAACTCGGAAGATTTCTAAAATAATGAAACAGTATCGATTTTCACTGAAAATGTAAATATTTGATTGTGTTATTCCGCCTTCTCACGTTGGACGAACCGACCAAATTCTCAAACTCAGCGTGTTAAGGCTGACGTCATGTGATGATTCTGCTCTAAGGAAAATGCTTCCTGTTATTATATATTTGCTGTTCACGTGTATTATTATGGAAGAAAAATTGTTTGGTTGTTCTTCACACATGAATTGTTGCTCTGTACAAATGTACTACATTATGTTAATGTTCGTCCGTTCTTCCGTCCATCTATAGCAAACGCTTACGCAAAACCCTTCAGACAAGTTTCTCGAAAATTACCTGGTCAATCTGCCCAAATTCGACACTCTGCAAATTTGAAACGGGTATTTTGATGTTTTGTAATACTTAACTAGAACTATTTTTCAATCTTTGCTTAAATCGCCTCCAATTTTTTGTTTAAATTTATTTCTCTAGTAGATAAAATTATACTTATGAAAATTGAGGTATCATTTTTTTACTAAATTCTCTTTATTTTTGAAAATTGCAAAACAACAAAATTTCGAAAACAGAATATTTATCTTGGAGTTTTTTCGTAAATACAATGTCTTGTAAAATGTTTAATCTTTAAAAACGCTCATATACAATTTTTAAAAAATAGAGTAATTTTTGTTTTAAATAAGGACTATTCATAAACCTCCA